TCCTAGGTTTACACTGTTTATGAAAGCAGGCCTAGGATCCCGTACGGGATCCTAGCTATACACAGAACAGCGTCAGATGCGATTATGAAATCCATTTGTGTGTCTAGCTAACTAACAATATGATATCCTAGGTTTATACTGTTGAAGAAATCGGGCATAGGAGTTTGTTTCTGAGGGTTCAAGAGCGCAAAAACAATCATATTCAATTCATTGTATATATTAGGCATTTTGTTTTTTGTAAAACCCTAATCAAAATAAAATACTCATTTTTATTTATGTCTGAAGCATTTCAAGTATTTATTACACTTTCCTTTGCTAAACTTAACTACATATATTAATTCATTCACTTTTATTTAATCTCCGAGCAAATATAACATATATAATACTATCCATTCATATACCAAAGCCATATTCTCCCTTATGAGGGGGTGGCTGAGTCAAAGAAAATATTTTGGCTTTTTGTGGGAAGTAAGTACAGAGAAAGGGATTCCCAGTCCCCTCGCTCTGCCCCATTTAGTCGACTTTCACGACACGCAGGGGAACACGGAGGAAGTATTCCTACCCCCTCCCTCAGGGGTTATATTATACTATACTATATTAAAATTAAGACTACAAAAAAACAAGTTAGTTTTCTCATTTAACACTAATGCATTTAACATTTTAAATAACTTTTCTTTGCTAAACTAAACACTACAGATGTTAATTCACTTTCTAATATTTAACATCCAAGTAAATGAGGCTTTTATAATACTCGACATATGTTAATATTAACACTAAAAGAGTTAAATTCATTATCTCATATAGCACTCAAACGTTATTGAATATTATCTAATTTTACTTTGTTAATCTTAACACTAGAGAAGTTCCTTCACTTTGTTCTTAATTAACACGGAAGTGTTTGGATTTCCACCTTAATTTGTTAAATTTAGCGATTACAGACGATAATTACTGCTCTTTACCTTACTTCAGTTTTTTTTTTATAAAAAGAAAAGTAAAATGGTATTTGATGTCGTTAATGATATATAAGGATTTAATTCTAATAATATAAGGTCACTACAAAAGGTTCTTTTGATCATGAAAAAAAAAATATCGCTTTATGTGTCATAATTAGTTTCCAGAAATTATTACACAATGCGTATTCTTATTAGAGTTGGCTGATTAAGGCTGGATGCCCATCTGAACGTCACACGACTGAGATCGAACCCGGCTTGTTGACTCCCGAGTAACCGTATCCATTAATTCGAGCTTGGGACTGGAACGAAGGTAAGCTACATCTACATACATTACATATATATACTTATATGTGTGCGTACATAAATATATACATACATTTTTGCATACACATGTATGTACATACGCATGTATGTCCGTCCGTCCGTTCGTCCATGCATGCATGCATGCATAATTGCTTATATGCTTATATACGCATGCATACATACATACATAAATGCAAATATATTATTTTTTATACGTGACATCGAGACGGGCAAAGAAAATTATCTTCATCAGGCCCGGGCACCAAGAAAACATTGCAAAGAATAAAAAGTGGAAGCTTAAGGACGTGAAAGAAATAAGAGAATGATAAGCAACTAGAAAAGGAAAAGCTGAAAGAATAGTTAAATAAATGAAGACCTAGAAATATGCCAGGATTAGGCCCTGATCTTTGTGTGTATATAAATACACATACATTTAGACACATATATACAAAATACACACCCACCCACATACACACACACACACAAACACACACACACACACACACACACACACACACACACACATATATATATATATATATATATATATATATATATATATATATACAGATAGATAGATAGATAGATAGAGACAGATATATATATATATAATATATATATATATATATATATATATATATATATATATATATATATATATATATAATAATAAATATATATATAATATATATATATATATATATATATATATAGAGAGAGAGATATATATAGATAGATAGATAGATAGATAGATAGATAGATAGATAGATAGATAGATAGATAGATAGATATAGATAGATAGATAGACAGATAGACAGATTGATAAACAGATAGATATAGATATTACATACATTCCGTGACACAGCGAAATACATACTGAAATACGAGGAATTTAATATCGATGTAAAAAAAAAAAAAGCAAATAACATTTGATAGCGTTGAAAGAGGATTGGATATTGAGTTGAAACTGTCTCGAATTACGGACACCAATATTGGAAATTTAATAGAAATGGCGTTTAAAATACTGGATACGTGAGTCTTATGCGTAGTGTATGATTTTAGAACTACCAGATATATTACCGGAAAAAACATCATTTATTATTCCTACTCTGGGTATCATCACCTTGATGTGGTAAGGAGGTTAACATGATTACATGACCGGGTCACCTATGATGGAAGGGGCACTGATGACGGGTCCAGGTACAGAATGACCCAACCTTCAAGCCTTCAACGGCTGACCAAAGAGACAAAGTAACTGAACTCAACGGCTGAAAAGTCGGATGAAAGGTATGACATATCCATCATCTCTAAAATCTTCTTGGTGGTTTGCTAATGGAATCAACTGATTGATTAAAAAGCACCGTGTGCAACAACGCGTGCGCATTAAACAAACACGCGCAAGCGTTTTTGCTTTCTATGGACCACTTGATGTTCATAGATAACGAAGCAAAGGCCAGCAATCTCCACCTATAGGGATAGCCAAGAAGAAGAATAGCGGGGCGTTAGGAAGGGCATCCAGAATAAATTCCCAAATTCAAACCTGGCTGTGTCAACCAACAAAATGAGGTTAAGAGTGACATATACAATGGTGCAAGAACATGAAGAAAGGTTATAACTTGCGTTACGGAATTTAGAATGGATTAGAGGTGATCATTTGTATTAATGGTCGGTCCACAATATTTACAATGTCATTATTTATTAATATTACGAGATTAAAGAATTATTTAGTATTAAAAACATAACAACAAGATCTAGATGATGTAGAAACCCTCTTTGAGTCTATGCTAATAACAGCAAAAACAAATTATCCTTAAAAAAAAAAAACTATATATACCAATAGAAATAACCACGAAATATTTCACATTAATGATTCGAAAAATATTTTGAACTAACTGGGTACCTTTATATCTCTCAAAAGTAAAAAATAAAACGCATTAATTGGCCGTTGAATATAAATGTTTTGGAAGGTAAACGAAAACTAATTTCATCTCTCATTTCATTCAGTTCGGCAGCTAAATGCTCTTGAGAAGCACCAATTAAGACTATTAAAAAAAAAAAAAAAAAAAGTCTGGCGGTAAATAAATAATATTCAAACCGAAAAATACTTAAAGAGAAGTGGTGCGAATTTGGAACAAACAAATTTTATAATCTAGTAAAAGAAAATGTAATAATAATAATAATAATAATAATAATAATAATAATAATATTGATTATTTACTTATTAATGAGCACTAAAGTCGCTTATGATAATTAAGAACGTTTGAGAAAAAAAAGATTAAAGTTTTTTAAGATCAACCACCAAAAAAAAAAAAAAAAAAAAAAAAAAAAAAAAAAAATATATATATATATATATATATATATATATATATATATATATATATATATATATATATATATATATATATATATATATATATATATATATATATATATATTAAAACTAACTGTTGAAGCATTTTTTATCTTGCATATTATCAGTTAATTATGTAGACACACTCGAGCGTGAAAAAAAAATAGTTTTTTAAGATATATATATATATATATATATATATATATATATATATATATATATATATATATATATATATATAATATATATATAATAATAATAATAATAATAATAATAAAACTAACTGTTGAAGTATTTCTTATCTAGCATATTATCAGTTAATTGCGTAGACACTAATTAAGTAAGCATTGGAAATAAATATAAATAGACGGGAGTTCAACACATCTAATTAAGTAAGTTCCGGGAAGATCTGTAAATAGACACGAGTTCAACATATCAAGGTATGTATTTCCAAAGTCAGAACACATAAATTTAATTTAGCTTATTTTATGTCTCTTGTAATTAAGTTATCTTAAAGGGGTTCGACTTATGTCACCAAGGCATTTTCTTCTTCTTTTCTGTTTTCATAAGCATTCTCATTTTTATTCTGCTGCTGCAAATGACTTTTTAAGTTTAGTTCACTGCATATAATGAATTTCGGTTACTTATATAAACAATAAATTCGAAATAAACATTTAAATCAAAATCAAGTAAGTTGTTTCATAACCATGGTCAACTTAGCAGGTAAGCTGAGTACACAAAAGGAAAGAGTAGGCCAGAGGCAAATTCAAAATGAGCCTAGCATTAGGATCTGAAGAAAAGAATTTTGCATGTAGCCTCATAACCCCCGTCAACTTAGCAGGTAGACTGAGTACACAAAAGGAAAGAGCAGAGCAGAGCCATTTGCAAAATGAGCTCCCTAGAAGTATTCTACGTACGCATGTGTAAAGCCGCTTTCACACCAAAGTGGCACGTGGCACGCCAGTTGAAAATGAACATCCGAAAATATATGAAACCTTTCACCCAGAAGTGGTCGCACGTGGCACATGGGACGTTTCACGCCACTTCTTTGTGAAAGATTTCATATATTTCCTCATGTTCGTTTTCAACTGGCGTTCCACGTGGCATGCCACGTGCGATGTGCCGCTTTGGTGTGAAAGCGGCCTAAGAATCAGGCCGAAACCCAATTGTGCTACTTTAGAGTAACGATACAAAAATTAAATGTTGCTATAAGCCAGGAGTCGAAATATGAAAGTTATATAATATATTAATACGAAGAAATAGAGATGCTTTTTCTTTCATACAATTCACTTTATTTTACCGTTTTGTACGCAACAATTATTCCCAATATGAATGGGAATGGACACAGACACCTTGGAGCTATAAGGTTGATTAAGGTTGGATGCCCTTCCTAACGCCCCCGAGGGAATCAAACCCGCGATTGTCAGGCTTGTCAGTTCCCGACTCGCAAGCTCTACCACTGAGCTACAGAGGTCCCAAGAAATCAAATTTCACAAACTATCTTAAATATTTTCAATACAAAAAAATGCAAAAAATAAAAATATAGGGATGGTTATTTTATTATCTAAAATAATGAAACCTTTTTTTCTTGTCCAGAT